TAAGGTATAATAGCACCACAGTCCTTGTGATTTCCCTTATACCTCACAGCGTGTACATAAGGTATAATAGCACCACAGTCCTTGTGATTTCCCTTATACCTCACAGCGTGTACATAAGGTATAATAGCACCACAGTCCCTGTGATTCCCCTTATACCTCAGAGCGTGTACATAAGGTATAATAGACCACGGTCCTTGTGATTTCCCTTATACCTCAGAGCGTGTACCTAAGGTATAATAGCACCACAGTCCCTGTGATTCCCCTTATACCTCAGAGCGTGTACCTAAGGTATAATAGCACCACAGTCCCTGTGATTCCCCTTATACCTCAGAGCGTGTACATAAGGTATAATAGACCACGATCCCTGTGATTTCCCTTATACCTCAGAGCGTGTACCTGACATTTATATCAGGTTTTTTTAACTGACATACATTTTTCGAGAATGCAAGGTGGCACAATGGGCTTGGCCCGCTGAGCCATACGGCGTCCCCGCACAAACCGCCTGCCACCCGCAGTACTCCAGGGGACAAACTGGCACTGCTCACCGACAGCAACGTGATCATATAAGACCGAAAAAGTTCAGAAGTTCTGCAGTGCACGCATATAAATTACACGGGAGAATAGCAAATAACATATGACTAATGCTCAATCAGCCTGACTAATGGGTGTCGTGGGAGAGGGTTTGAGACACTCACACTCGCCTTTAAACTACACAAGTAGCGTTTGTGATTTATGGGTAGGCAGGCGGCCCACCTGAATTAGCATCAACTGATGAAAGCAAAGTAACAGAGAAATACATGCTACAGTGTGAAAGGTTAACGACTTGAAAATGTCACCCGAGAAAACAGCTATTTGTTGTATAGGTGCAGCACAGGAGTGACACTATGAATTAATATGAAGCTGATTATGAAGCCCCCAAAGGTGGTGCTTCAGCAATTACACATGTGACATCATAGCCAGAGCCCAGAGGAGCTGTGAAAATCCCAAAACACCCAAGCAAGTGAAAGCAGGAACAAGAGAACCTCAGTGGACATGCATCGATCTTCACTGTACCTTCCTGGCCACCGCAGTCTGCGTCCGTCACATTTATAAGAGGAGAAATGAAATACAAGGAAAGCGAAAGAGACTGAGTCACTGTGGAGCAGGAGGGACACCCCTAACTCGCAGCGGGGAGTCGAGCTGTACACCAGCACCCACAGCTTAGAGACGGCTCATCAGCGAGACGAAACAACAGGTTACCGTAGAAACCACTGCCACCATGCCAGCACAGGGACGAACGGTGGTGATTCAGCGAGGCGGCCACGCCTCTGTTTAAACGTGCCTAATTAGGTTATGTAATTCATAGGGCAGGCAAGGGGACAGTCAGGTCGTCAGCTGATTAACAGAGGCCTTGGGAGATTTGCTAGAACCAGGCATGGTGCAAGGATCGCTCGCAAGTCACACGCTGAACTCCAGCCCTCTGGCCCAATCACAGCACGTTCTGAGGCTGAGCGCGGCTTCAGCAGCCAATGGCTGCAATCCTGCAATCCAGCTGGAATTTCGACGCTCTACCGTAGTGGGCAATGTTGACTAATTGAACAACATGGGATTTTAACAATAATTGCTAATAAAGATTGTTGAGATTACTAATTCTTGTGAAACTGCCATCACAATCAGGTCTTTGTTTCAGTGTTGTCAGTGCAGGACAATTAGCTATTACACTGCACACGTCTCAGGAAGTAAATTACATCACAGCCTAACATCAAAAGGCAAGTGACAGGTGACACTCCCAAAAAGCACAATTCCATTTACAGTAGTCTGGCAGGGGGCTGGGATGTGGACCGTCTGGGGCCCCCCGAAGACCAGGTTAAGAAATACTGATTTACAGCATCTAAAATCAGCTGCCTGAGAAGTTCTATCATACACTAATGTAGAGAATCCTGTATTGTAGCCACATTAAAGCCATTACCTATGACTCACAACCAACATGCTCAGCACCGTTATAGTGCCAGAACAATCTAGGCCATCCAAGAACAGCTTGAGTCATTTTTCTTCCCTAAACTGGCATAACAGACATGTTACAGCCATCGTCTTCCTGTGTGATGGACGTGTAGGTAGTAAGCTGTGGTGCATGATGGGTAGGAGGTGATGATCAGGGGGAGGGAGGACACCGGCAGGACACCGTGCTCGGCACCGGGCGGGGATGAGGATGATGGACGTGGAGAGGCTGAAGCTCTGGGAAACGTGGAAGCTCGGATGGCTCGGATCTGCTTGTATACCAGTTCAGTCAGTGGCCGTCACGCTGGAAGGTGTTTTCCCGGGATACTCACCAGCTTAGTCTGCCTTGGTGTCTCCAGGCTCTCTGAAAAGGAGGAGACGAGAACTGTTAAGGCTTACAGCGTGGTTATTAAGCAGCCCGGGCCTGATCACTACCGGTAAACAAAAGAACTGAAGGACAACTAGGACACATAGGCTGGAACATGAGCCCACATTGACTGTGAGCGACATCTGCAGTCCGGCCTCGCCGAGGGGGACGCCTGCGGCCCGGTGTGCCTTTTCGGGGCCATCTGCATTCTGGCGTCACCGCGAGGGACCCCTGCATATTAGAGCTACTATGAACTCCTATTGGATTTCAGGGCCAAGATGTTCGGAGACGAAACCATAAGTACTAAGGAAAACAGACCGTGGGGAGTTTTATTGAAAAGAATCCTTTCATAGGCATGAAAGACTTTCATTCACTGTATCACAGTAAAAGAACAGAAGCTTTTGTTAAATCAGCAAAAAACTGGGCTCAAAAACAACGAAAAATAGCCCAGCACATCATATCAGGTGATATGCCAAGCATAGAGAGGCAAAGAAAAAAAAAGATAAAAATGATGTTTTATGGACATGGGCATTGGAATTCCAATGCTGACTGACAGAAACAAAGACAACATTGTTCTGTAACTCTGAACCCTGAAATCTGTAAGATTTCACCAGTTAAGAACAGATATGAGTCGGCCATTGTGTGGAAGGACATTAAGCGACACATAACTAATTAATTTCAACTCCTTCCACCGGGGGGCAACATCTATACGATTTTGTTGTCATCCCTGGAATTCAATACCTTCTACATCCTCAAACTTCAAATCCGAAGACATAATCGAACTACGTGAACCAATCCGGTCAGTTAGTTTAAGGTTTTAATCACATTTGCCGACTTTCTCCATCTCTATTTTGGTCGAATTGTGAATTAAAAGTAATTAGCAAAGAACAACAATCTTCGTGTGAATTCAACCCCTGCCGCTTGTATTCTAACGTCATTTAGTGCTTTACTGTCCAGGTTTCGCAGAAACAACGTTTAAATTTTAATCCCTCTTTTTAATAATTCTAAAAAAAAAAACAATAAAATCTGTGATAAAATCATATACGATTGCTTCAGTGGTTTACTGTATCTCAGGGGGGCTAAACTTCGGAAGAATTTACATTTTTATGCGCACCCAATTAGGCTTACAGAGGATGCCCGGCGGGCCATTAAATCTCCCCGGCAAAGGAGCGCCTGAGGACATTAAAAGAGCCGAAAAATACAGAGCGGCCTGCCAGAACAGGGGGGGTATTCAAAGGATAATTTCCTCTACGGACAGGAGGACTATTTCCGCCTTTTAAATCTCTGCTGGCTGGACAGGAGACCACAGAGCAAAGCCAGCTGAATGCCAGCCACCTTGTTTTTGAGAGTATAAATCGGCGACCCACAGCAACGAGACTCAACTCAGCGTCAACAAAAACAGAAAGGAAACGTCTGGCGTGTCAGCTGTACCCCAAGCGGGACGACGGGGCAGACAGACAGTGTACGACAATAACAGCAGCGGCTTTTGAACTAAATAAAACATATATATTATATAAATCAAGGTCTGGCGCCGTGGCAGCACGGCATGCTGGGTAATGAGAAGGACAGAGCTGCTGGCGTCCCTGCAAACTTACCTCCCCTGGGTGTCCCGGCAGTGACCGGGTCGGAGGGCTCGGCAGGGGGGGCGTCTGAGCTTTCCTCAACAAGCTGGAGCTGATCGATAAAACCAAATGGAAAATTAAAGAAAAATATTATTTCCTTACACTGACAGCTAAATGTAAAGACCAAACATGACAATTGAAAAATCAATTTAGCTGATACTTTCAGTGTCGGCCTTTGAAAAAAGACCTTTATTATGAAATGGAAGATAGATAAATCTGAAACAAAATATATCTTTAGCTTAGCATGTGGTTGCCCTGATTGCTGCTGCATACAACATACTACAGAGGCTGGTTTCTAAGTAAATTTGAAGTCTTAATCACGTTAGTCTCAAGCTGTTAATTAAGCTAAATTCCCAATTCAAATTGCTTTAAACTCAAAGCAATAGCCCAGAACTCTTCAATGCATCTTAATAAGGAATTTTATTAAAAATAAATTAAAAGAGTCTATGAATATGATGTTAAATGCATACTATGTTTATATGAGTATACTATATATAGTCTAATCTAAACAAGTTAAAGCGGAATTCATGCAGTTGTGATAGTTTAAAAAAAAAGCCTAATAAAAGTGAATGAATTACATGCATAATTACTCGTAACGGTTTTACAACCCTTCAGCCATAACAGATAGTCCTTGTCAAGCAAATTAGATTTAACTGCACAAAAAGAAATGACAGTAAGTGCACAATGTATGGTTTAACTCAATTTAAAATTATCCGAATCATTCACTTGGCTGGTCAATCGATGGGGAGCTCAGACGACAGTGGAACATCGACCAATTTAAAGAAAAAGAAGCAACAGCTAACATTAGCTAAGCAGCGGTCGTGTCGGCTGGAGATGCACCTACAAGCTGCCCTACAAGCTACACTGAGCTACACTAAGTTACACTGAGTTACACTGAGTTACACTGAGCTACACTGAGTTACACTGAGCTACACTGAGCTACACTGAGTTACACTGAGCTACACTGAGCTACACTGAGTTACACTGAGCTACACTGAGTTACACTGAGC